ATTAAAAAAAAAAAAAAAAAAAAAAAAAAAAAAACAATGGCTTGCATTCCATTGGGCCTCACATTCTTGTCGAGTGAATAACACTTATGTATTGGTGCGCAGATGCCTGCCCTCCGACATGAGATCGAGCCCATGGCAAAGATGCTGATTTCCCAAGCGGAGCGTCCCAAAGTGGTTGGGTGATGAGAAAGTGTGAGTGTCTAATCTCTCTCTCTCTCTCTCTCTCTCTCTCTCTCTCTCACGCACACACACACACACACACACACATACACACACACACACACCCATTGTCGCCCATCGAGCTTGTTGCACCCTTATCACACTCCCAAATGAATCCACTTCGACACATCATTCACACGGCTTAAGGCAGCCTCTCTCCCTGGCCACACATCGTAGCTCACCGATTCCCATTCCGCTTCTTCCTCGGAAGACTACTGGAATGTGCTTCCTCCTCTTCTCTCTCTCTCTCTCTCTCTGCTTCACGCCCGCTTCCCCGCTGGATCTTGCGTGCTCTCCCCTAACCAACGCACGTACTTAGCCGATCCCTGAACGATTGGCAACGCGATCAGCTCGGGCACGTCGTAGGGGTGATTGAGTACCACGTATTTCTCCACGTCCTCGAACAGACCAACCCTTGTTTTTATAATTAGCAACAGCTCCGACTCCTTTTCCATTTTGCCCTCCCACGTGTAGAAGGACTCCACCCCTGGGAGGATATTCACACATGCAGCTAATCTCTTCTCAACAAGACCCCTCGCCAGCTTCTCCCCTACTTCCTTATTGGGTACGGTCACATATACAACATTGAACCCCGTCGTCCCGAGATCCCCCATTTCCACCTCCTCTCGCTTTCTCTCTAGATCACTCCCTCCCCCTTCCCCTCCCTCTGCCTCTCGCTCTCTCTCTCTCTCCCCCCCTCTCTCTCTTTCTCCCTCTCCCACTTTGTCTCTCCCTCCTTCTCCGCTTGCCCAGACGAAGGAAGAAGCTCCCCACGACGACGATGATCCTTTGTTGTCCCGACTGTAGCCTTTTCCAGATCCCAATGACGACAATGACGATGCCTTGGTGTCCCGACGCGCAGCAGTCTGCTCCTTCCCTGCCAAATGCTTGCCGTCGGATTGACTCCGACTCTGGATCGCGATCCCAATACCGACGCCACGACTGAAAAAAACGCCAGCCAAAATCGCCAAGAAAATCACAAAGAACCACAGCACTCTGCTCTTCTTATTCTGCACCTGGACGTAACATTGATGGATATACATTTGCCAATTTTGCCCTTCTTTGGATTTCCCTTTCTCTCTCTCTCTCCCTTTGGCCGTCGCCGCCATCCTTCCCCCCTTCGCAATCCGCTCCTACGAGCTTCACCGGCGCGAGTAGCCCCTCTCCCCCCTCCCGTCCCCCCCCCCCCCACCCCACCCCACCCCCCCCCCCCCCCCCCCCCCCACCCCCCCCCCCCCCCCCCGCCCCCCCCCCCCCCCCCCCCCCCCCCCCCCCCCCCCCCCCCCCCCCGCCCCCCCCCCCCCCCCCCCCCCCCCCCCCCCCCCACAAAGATAAAAGAAAAGAAAAGAAAGAGTAAAAAAAGAAACAAACAATGCCCACGACTTGCGGCCGTTAAACTTCCCCTAATGATAATGATACTAGGATTATTAAAAAAAAAAAAAAAAGGCTAATGATGATAATAACTTAATAATGATAATAGCATAATAATGATAGTAACTTAATAATGATAATAACTTAATAATAATAATAATACAATGATAACGAATAGAATAAGGATAATTCTCCTTTGGCATTTATAACTTCGATGTACCTGGCCGCAATGTGGGCGTTTTTGGAACCGAAATCGTCAGGTCCTCCTGGCCGGAACCCGGTAAGTTCTGACGACTTCGGTTTCGAAAAACGCCGAAAATGCGGTCAGGAACATCGACGTTAAAAAAAAAAAAAAAAAAAAAAAAAAAA